TTATGAAGAACTATATACCAACGAACTGGACAACCTAGAAGAAATGGATGAACTCCTAGAAACATAAACTATTAAAACTGAAACAGAAAGAAATAGAGAATCTGAAAAGAGTGATTACCAGCAAAGAGATTGAATCAGTAATATAAAAACTGCCAAAAAGCCGAAGTCCAGGACGAGATGGCTTCACACGCAAATTCTACCAAACATTTAAAGAACAGTTAACATACCTATTCTTCTCAAACTATTCCAAAAAAATAGAAAAAGGAAAATTCCTTCCAAATTCCTTTTAGGAGGCCAGCATTACCCTAATACCAAAACCAGATAAAGAACCACAAAAAAGAGAACTATAGGCTAGTATCTCTGATGAACACATATGCATAAATCCTCAACAAAATGTTAGCAAACCAAATCCCAAACTACATTTAAAAAAAATCATTCACCATAATCAAGTGGGATTTACTCCCAGGATGCAAGGATGGGTCAACATTCGCAAATTAATCAATGTAATACATCACATCATCAAGAGAAAGGACAAAAACCATATGATCATTTCAACAGATGCAGAAAAAGCATCCCACAGAGTAGAACATCCATTCGTAATAAAAGCCCTCAAAAAAGAAGGTTTAAAGGGAACATACCTCAACATAATAATGGCCATCTATCTACAAAAACCCTACAGCTAACATCCTACTCAATGGGGAAAAACAGAGCTTTTACTCTAAGGTATGGAACATGACAAGGATGCCCACTCTCACCATTTCTATTCAACATGGTACTGAAGTCCTAGCCAGAGCAATCAGCCAACAAAAAAGAAATAAAAGGCATCCAAATTGGTAAGGAAGAAGTAAAACTTGCACAATTTCCAAATGACATGATACAATATATAGAAAACCCTAGACTCCACCAAAAAACTCCTAGAACTGATCTGTGAATTCAGTAGATTCAGGATACAAAAATCAATGTGCAGAAATGTTGTACTTCTATATACTAACAATGAAGCACCCAAAAGAGAAACTAAGAAAACAATCCCACTTACAAGTGCACTGAGAATAATAAGATACCTAGAAATAAACTTAATCACGGGGATGAAACACCTGTATTTCCAAACTCTACAAAAAACTGATGAAAGAAATAGAGGTGACAGAAAGAAAAGATACTCCACGTTCATGGAATGGAACAAATATTGTTGAAATGTCCAAACTACGCAAAGCAATCTACACATTTAATGCAATCCCTCTCAAAATACCAACCAGGGTTTTTCACAGACTAGAACAATCCTCAAATTTGTATGGAACCCCAAAAGACCCCAAATAGTCAAAGCAATCTTGAAAAAGAAAAGCAAATCTGGAGGTATCACAATTCCAGACTTCAAGTTATATTAAAAATCTGTATTCAAAATAATATGGTACTGGCACAAAAACATACTCACAGATCAATGGAACAGAACAGAAAACCTAGAAATAAATTCACAATTATACGGTCAATTAATCTTTGACAAAGGCGGAAAGATATCCAATGGGAAAAAGACATCTCTTCAACAAATGGTGTTGGGAAACTGGTCAGCTACATTCAATAAAACCAGACCACTTTCCTATACCACACACAAAAATAAACTCAAGATGGAATAGACGGAACTGTAAGACCTAAAACCATAAAATTCCTGGAAGACAGTACCGACAGTAATGTCACTGATAGAGGTCATAGCAACCTTTTTCTAGACACATCTCTCAGGGCAAGGGAAATAGAAGCAAAAATAAACATTTGGGACTACATGAAAATAAAAAGCTTCCGCACAGCAAAGGAAACAATCAACAATACTAAAAGACAGCCTACAGAATCGGAGACAATATTTGCATCTGAAATATCTGATAAGTATCCAAAATATATATAAAAAAAAACTGATAAAACTCAACACCCAAAACCCAAAAATCCAATTAAAAAATGAGAAGACACGAAGAGGCATTTCTCCAAATAAGAAATATAGATGGCCATTAGACACATGAAAAGATGCTCATCACTCCGCAAGGAAATGCAAATCAACACTATGAGCTTATCACCTCACATCTGTCAGAATGGCTAAAATGAAAAACACAAGAGGCAAGTGTGGCAGAGGATGTTAAAAAACAGGAATTCTTTTGCACTGTAGGTGGGAACACAAACTAGTGCAACCACTGTCAAAAACAGTATATGGAGGTTCCTCAAAAGGTTAAAAATGGACTACCCTACGGTCTATCAATCACACCACTGGGTATTTACACAAAAAATACAAAAACACTAATTCAAAGGGATACATGCACCTTATGTCTACTGCAGCATTATTTACAATATCCAAATTATGGAACCAGCCCACCTGTCCATCGCATGATGAATGGCTAAAGAAGAGATGGTGTGTGTGTGTGTGTGTGTGTGTGTGTGTATGTACACACACACACACACACACACACCATGGAATATTATTTGGCTATAAGAAAGAAGGAAATCTTCAAAAACTAATGATGTAATGTATGGTGATTAACATAACAATAAAAAATTAAACAAAAAAGAAAGAAGGAAATCTTGCCATTTGCAAAAACATGGATAGAACTAGGAAGTATAAGGCTAAGTGAAATAAGTCAGTCAGAGAAATACCATATGACTTCATTCATATGTGGAATTTAAGAAACAAAGAAGAAAAAGAGAGGTAAGTCAAGAAACAGACTGAACTACAGAGAACAAACTGATGGTTACCAGATGGAGGGTTGGTAAGGTGATGGGTGAAATGGGTTACAGGGATTAAGGAGTGCATTTGTTGGGACGAGCACTAGGTATTGCATGTAATTGTTGAATCACTAAATTGTACACCTGGAATTAATACATCACTGTATGTTACAAAGAAAAAACTGATACAATCAATATTGCATAATGATTCTTTTTACTTTTTTGTTTTGTTTTTGAGTCTTATTTAAATTCAATTTAACTAACACATACTGTATTAGTTTCAGAGGTAGAATTTAGTGATCACAAGTTGCATATAACACCTAGTGCTCATTCCATCAAGTGCCCGCCTTAATGCCCATCACTGTTACCCCATCGCCCCCACCTTCCCTCCAGCAACCCTCAGTTTGTTTCCTAGAGTTAAGAGTCTCTTATGGTTTGCCTTCCTCTTTTCCACATTTTTCCTTCCCTTCCCTTATGTTCATTGCTTTGTTTCTTAAATTCCACATGAGTGCAATCGTATGATTTTTGTCTTTCTCGGACTTATTTCACTTAGCATAATACCCCCTAGTTCTATCCATGTCATTGCAAATGGCAAGATTTCATTCTTTCTGATGGCTAAGTAATAGTCCATTGTATAAGTATGTATGTGTATTTTATACCACATCTTCTTTATCCATTCATCTGTAGATGGACATCTGAGCTCTTCCCATAGTTTGGCTATTGTGGCCATTGTGGCTATAAACATTGGGGTGCATGTGCCCCTTCGGATCACTGTTTGTATCTTTGGGGTAAATACCCAGTAGTGCAAATGCTGGGTAGTAGGGTAGCTCTATTTTTAACTTTTTGAGGAACATCCATACTGTTTTCCAGAGTGGCTGCACCAGTTCTCATTCCCACCAACAGTATAAGACGGTTCTCCTTTTTCCACATCCTCGGCAACACCTGTTATTTCCCGAGTTGTTAAATTTAGCCATTCTGACTGGTGTGACATGGTATCTCACTGTAGTTTTTTTTTTTTTTTTAAAGATTTTCATTTATTTATTTGACAGAGAGAGACACAGTGAGAGAGGGAACACAAGCAGTGGGAGTGAGAGAGGGAGAAGCAGGCTTCCTCCGGAGCATGGAGCCTGATGTGGGGCTGGATCCCAGGACCCTGGGATCATGACCTGAGCCGAAGGCAGATGCTTAATGGCTGAGCCACCCAGGCACCCCATCTCACTGTAATTTTGATTTGTATTTCCCTGATGCCAAGTGACATTGAGCATTTTTCTTTCATGTGTCTGTTGGCCATTTGTATGTCTTCTTTGGAGAAATATCTGTTCTTCTGTCCACTTCTTGAATGGATTGTTTTTTCGGTGTTGAATTTAAAAAGTTCTTTCTAGATTTTGGATTCTAGCCCTTTATCTGATATGTCATTTGCAAGTATCTTCTCCCATTCCGTAGGCTGCCTTTTAATTTTGTTGACAGTTTCCTTTGCTGTGCAAAAGCTTTTTATCTTGATGAAGTCCCAATAGTTCGTTTTTGCTTTTGTTTCCCTTGCCTTTGGAGATGTATCTTGAAAGAAGTTGCTGTGGTCGAGGTCAAAGAGGTTGCTGCCTGTGTTTTCCTCTAGGATTTTGACAGATTCCTGTCTCACAGGTCTTTCATTCATTTTGAGTTTGAAGTTCCAGTTCCAATACATTTAGTACTGAGTATTAATCTTGTCTTCTAGGCTTTCTTTTTGTTGCTGTTTGTCTCATATCTTATGTATCTTTTTAGTTATTTATTTTTACCTTTTTTTTTTATCATTTAGGTTTAAGCCCAGAAGTAAAGCCCAAAAAAACCACAACCAACCCTAAAAGTAAATAAATAGTCAAATCCATAAATCTTTGCACTTCAGTATATTTTTAAGTCACTAGTAAACTGATATGCTTAATAACTGTTTCTGCTTCTCCTTTTTACAATCTTACCCATCTCTTAGAGCTATTGAAATGTTAAATGAACTAATGGTATTGTTCCTGGCATATCCTAAGTTCTCAATAAACACACAGAGGAAAGAATATTTAGTAGAGGTTCAACATTAGCTCTGAAATTCAACTCTCTGAGTTAAAATGCTAGCTCTAACACTATTTGCCATTGAATGCATTACTAAACTTTTCTAATTTCAATTTCATTTTCCTAAAGTGGGAAAATAAAACTTTATAGAATAGTTGTAAGGAATAAATGAGGGGGGAAAAAAAAGCAAATATGTATAGCACCTGGCATAGAATTAATTAAATATTAGCTATTTTTATTCTTTGCAAACAAACAAAAAAGCAACCTACCTCCACTCAATGTCCCATGAGGATCAAATACATCACCCCCTAGAGTTACAGTTCTAGTCATTATCCTTTTATCAAACGCCACTTTTTTTGCATTATCCATATTATTACAAACAAACGTTGTTCCAAAGACAAATTCCATTGCTTTCTGAAGTTCTGGTTTGTATTCAACCAGGGAAAGAGCCACGTGAACATTGTTAGGACCAACCTGTGAGAAAACAACAAATATGTCACAGTACATGCTACCCCTTTCTTTTCAAATATTTTACAAAACAGAACTGCTATACTAGAAATTTAAGTACTACTTACCTAGCACTACAATTCCTTTTGAACTTTCTAAAATACTATGGAAAACAAGAGTTTTAGAAAAAATTTCAAGTGTAAACATTGAAACTTCTATGGTAAGTAAAATATTTAAAGTACCAGTATTATGAGAGTGTCTATTAAGCAGGAGCCAGTACCAAGTTTCTACTATTTGGACACACTCTCTTAGTTAAAATACAGCAATTGCTGGATCAACACAATTATATAAAATGTTTTATTTCAATTATTAATTTGCTTATTCTATAGTGAATACTTTTTCATTCAAATTAAACATGCTAAGCAGCCACCTATCAGTTACAGAAAAACACAACTAGCAATTGAGAAGGTAAAAAACAGGGCGCCTGGGTGGCTCAGTTGGTTAAGCGACTGCCTTTGGCTCAGCTCATAATCCTGGAGTCCCGGGATTGAGTCCCGCGTCGGGCTCCCTGCTCGGCAGGGAGTCTGCTTCTCCCTCTGCCCCTCTTCCCCCTCATGCTATCTCTCATTCTCTCTCTCTCTCAAATAAATAAATAAAATCTTAAAAAAAAAAAAAGAGAAGGTAAAAAACATTTTAAAACCCTGTTTTATTTTGATCCAACTGCCTCTTCTCAACCTTTGTTGATGTATACTTCTGCCCATCTTTTTAAAACAACTAAGCATCCTTTAAGGAACTGAGTAGCAGCAAGAGAAATCAAAATGAAGGTAGCTCTGTATAACAAATTTTCAGCATTGCCCTCTGACATAGCAGCTATCATTAAAAAGGTTTGGCTAAGGCACCTGGCTGGAAGTATTGCTGCTACCTGAAACCCCACTTCTTACACTGGGACTTGTCCAAAAGCTGAAGTAACTTCCAAAACCTTCCAGACCCAAAGGTGATTTTTCAAAGTAAACAAAGTACTAACCAGAAACACCACCTTTCAATTACTCTGCACTCATTTTCCTCCTCCTGAGAGTACACATGTCAATACAACTGTATTTTAAAATAATTTTCACTGAAGGCTTCTCAATAGCAAGAACACTGAATATCCATTTAGTGTCTTAATTATAAATGCATTTCTAAGTTTCATAGAACTGTCTTTTCAAATGATGCACTTGGAATGCCTGCTCAATAACAAACTGGTAACACTGTTGAATATTAGGACTGGCTTCATGTTATTACCCAATATTACACAACTATAATTGCCTTTTAAATGTATAGCCTTGTACTCCTCTGGGGTTTGTTTTTATTTTTTTACTAATAGCTATACCACTTTAGATCCACCTCAGCAGCTGAATGGGTATCCTGGTCCCCTGCTTTGTATGTACAGAGGCTGGAAGGCAACCGAGAGAAACTCTAATAGAAAAACATCTCTATAAGACTGACAGATAACAGTTGTCACTATGGGCAGTTTAACTGTGTCTCGCATGAAAAAAAACTGAAGAATTCTGGTATTTATAAGCTCTGTAATTCTCGTAACTCAGAGATTGGAAATTTAGTATCATGTGATAGTCATGTAACCGGACTGAAGGTTTAAAGACATTTTAACATTACAACTTTGTAATATCAAAGGTAGTTTTAGTTTTCCACTGTTTCTATTGTTCTTCCATCTATTTTCACAAAAGCCAACCCTTTTTTTGTAGCTTAAATGTTTAAGTCATGGTAACAACAAAATTTTGTGGTTCTACGTATAATTATGTCCCCCAAGTTAACGTCGCCTAACTAAAACAAAACAAAACCAAACTAAAAAACAAGATCTACATAAAACATAAAGAAGACTTACAAGATTCTGAGCGACCCTCAGAGTTTCTGGAGCAATACATCTGGCAGAAATTTTATTGAGTGGAATTATAGTGTATCGACGTTTCAATTCCCCCTTTTCTAGTAACTTTTTTCCAGTAACCTAAAAAATTGTGCATTTGAAATAAGGAAATAAAATATCAATGACAGAAAACATTCAGAGGGAAAGAGTGCAAGTTTAGAAATCCACAATTAAATCTTTAGTGCCTAGTACCCTGAACAAAGGCAAGTCTAAAACTGATAATATGCATTCTGGATTCCTAAGTAAGCATGCGACTTCTTTGGGAATATAGTTTATCAAATATACTATAATCAATAATATAATAAAAAGTTATTAACTGAATAGCTATACCTGTAAAGATAAAAAACCTTAGGAATAGCTTAAAACATCAAGAAAGTACTTAATTCTAGCAACTCATGACTTTTCCAGCTAAGGAGGAATTGTAAATTTTCTTTAATTTACCTCTGTGTCTACTATAACATTGTAGAGCCGTTCCCCAGCCACCAATTCTAAAGCTGTGGTTGCAGAAGTATCTTTCACACTAATCAGAGAAGCTACAAGTCCTTTCACACAATTTCTATTCCAGTTCTTCTCTGGATCCCTAAAATAGAACAGTTGACAAAAATTAATCTGAAACAATAAAACAGAAAAATTTGTATTTTACTAGTCAAGAGCTCGTCCTAGCAACACATCAGAAGCATATACGCTTTTAAAAAATACAAAAATTTAATGTTCAGATGACTAGCCAAATCTTGTTTTTTTAAGTCACTCAACAGATCTTTCAGTACATAGTTTTCAATGAATCAAAAATAACTTGGATGTTTTAATCTTTTATTTTTTTTAATTTTCTTGTTATGGTGATCACCAGATATTACATCATTAGTTTTTGATGTAGTGTTCCATGATTCATTGTTTGTGCATTACACCCAGTGCTCCATGCAGAATGTGCCCTCTTTAATACCCATCACCAGGCTAACTCATACCCCTACTCTCCTCCCCTCTAGAACCCTGTTTGTTTTTCAGAGTCCATCGTCTCTCATGGTTCGTCTCCCCCTCCAACTTACTCCCCTTCATTCTTACCCTCCTGCTATCTTCTTTTCTTTTTTCTCAACATATGTTGCATTATTTGTTTCAGAAGTACAGATCTGTGATTCAACAGTCTTGCACAATTCACAGCGCTCACCATAGCACATACCCTCCCCAATGTCTATCACCCAGCCACCCCATCCCTCCCACCCCCCACCACTCCAGCAACCCTCAGTTTGTTTCCTGAGATTAAGAATCCCTCTTATCAGTGAGGTCATATGATACATATCTTTTTTTGATTGACTTATTTCTGGCAGTATAACACCCTCCAGTTCCATCCACGTCATTGCAAATGGCACGATCTCATTCCTTTTATGGCTGCATAATATTCCATTGTATATATATACCACCTCTTCTTTATCCATTCATCTGTCGATGGACATCTTGGCTCTTTCCACAGTTTGGCTATTGTGGACATTGCTGCTACAAACATTGGGGTGCATGTACCCCTTCGGATCCCTACATTTGTATCTTTGTGGTAAATACCCAGTAGTGCAATTGCTGGATCGTAGGGTAGCTCTATTTAAACTGTTTGAGGAACCTCCATACTGTTTTCCAGAGGGGTTGCACCAGCTTGCATTCCCATCAACAGTGTAGGAGGGTTCCCCTTTCTCCACATCTCTGCTAACATCTCTCGTCTTCTGACTTGTTAATTTTAGCCATTCTGACTGGTGTGAGGTGGTATCTCATCGAGGTTTTGATTTGGATTTCCCTGATGCGAGCGATGTTGAGCACTTTTTCATGAGTCTGTTGGCCATTTGGATGTCTTCTTTGGAAAAATGTCTGTTCATGTCTTCTGCCCATTTCCTCATTGGATTATTTGTTCTTTGGGTGTTGAGTTTGAGAACTTCTTTATAGATTTTGGATACTAGCCCTTTATCTGATATGTCATTTGCAAATATTTTTTCCCATTCTCTCGGCTATCTTTTGGTTTTGTGGACTGTTTCTTTTGCTGTGCAAAAGCTTTTTATCTTGATGAAATCCCAATAGTTCATTTTTGCCCTTCCTTCCCTTGCCTTTGGCGATGTTTCTAGGAAGAAGTTGCTGCGGCTGAGGTCGAAGAGGTTGCTGCCTGTGTTCTTTAGGATTTTCTTGGACTCCTGTCTCACGTTTAGGTCTTTCAACCATTTGGAGTCTGTTTTTGGGTGTGGTGTAAGGAAATGGTCCAGTTTCATTCTTCTGCATGTGGCTGTCCAGTTTTCCCAACACCACTGGTTGAAGAGACTGTCTTTTTTCCATTGGATATTCTCTCCTGCTTTGTCAAAGATGAGTTGACCATAGAGTTGAGGGTCCATTTCTGGGCTCTCGATTCTGTTCCATTAATCTATGTGTCTGTTTTTGTGCCATTACCATAGTGTCTTGATGATGACAGCTTTGTAATAGAGTTGGAAGTCCGGAATTGTGATGCCACCAGGTTTGCTTTTCTTTTTCAATATGCCTCTGGCTATTTGGGGTCTCTTCTGGTTCCACACAAATTTTAGGATTATTTGTTCCATTTCTTTGAAAAAAGTGGATGGTATTTGGATGGGGATTGCATTGAATGTGTAGATTGCTCTAGGTAGCACTATCTTCACAATGTTCATTCTTCCAATCCATGGGCATGGACCGTTTTTCCATTTCTTTGTGTCTTCTTCAATTTCTTTCATGAGTATTTTATAGTTTTCTGAGTACAGATCCTTTGCCTCTTTGATTAAATTTATTCCTAGGTATCTTATGGTTTTGGGTGCAGTTGTAAATGCGATCGACTCCTTAATTTCTCTTTCTTCTGTCTTGTTGTTGGTGTATAGGAACGCCACTGATTTCTGTGCATTGATTTTATATCCTGCTACTTTACTGAATTGCTGTATGAGTTCTAGCAGTTTTGGGGTGGAGTCTTTTGAGTTTTCCACATACAGTATCATATCATCTGCAAAGAGAGTTTGACTTCCTCTTTGAGATTTGGATGCCTTGGATTTCTTTTTGTTGTCTGATTGCTGTGGCTAGGACTTCTAACACTATGTTGAATAGCAGTGGTGAGACTGGACATCCCTGCCGCGTTCCTGACCTTAGGGGAAAAGGTCTCAGCGTTTCCCCATTGAGAATGATATTTGCTGTAGGTTTTTCATAGATGGCTTTTATGATATTGAGGTATGTACCCTCTATCCCTATACTCTGAAGAGTTTTGATCAAGAAAGGATGGTGTACTTTGTCAAATGCTTTTTCTGCATCTATTGAGAGGATCATGAGATTCTTGTTCTTTCTTTTGTTCATGTATTGTATCACGTTGATTGATTTGCGGATGTTGAACCAGCCTTGCAGCCCAGGGATACATTCCTCTTGGTCGTGGTGAATAATGCTTTTAATGGACTGTTGGATCCTATTGGCTAGTATTTTGGTGAGAATTTTTGCATCCACGTTCATCAAGGATATTGGTCTGTAATTCTCCTTTTTGATGGGGTCTTTGTCTGGTTTTGGGATCAAGGTAATGGTGGCCTCATAAAATGAGTTTGGAAGTTTTCCTTCCATTTCTATTTTTTGGAACAGTTTCAGGAGAATAGGTATTAATTCTTCTTGAAATGTCTGATAGAATTCCCCTGGGAAACCATCTGGCCGTGGGCTTTTGTTTCTTGGGAGATTTTTGATGACTGTTTCAATTTCCATAGTGGCTATAGGTCTGTTCAGGTTTTCTATTTCTTCCTGGTTCAATTTTGGTAGTTGATACATCTCTAGGAATGCACCCATTTCTTCCAGGTTATCTAAATTGCTGGCATAGAGTTGCTCATAATATGTTCTTATAATTGTTTGTATTTCTTTGGTGTTGGTTGTGATCTCTCCTCTTTCATGATTTTGTGGATTTGGGTCATTTCTCTTTTCTTTTTGATAAGTCTGGCCAGGGGTTTATCAATCTTGTTAATTCTTTCAAAGAACCAGCTCCTACTTTTGTTGATCTGTTCTACTGTTCTTTTGGTTTCTAGTTCATTGATTTCTGCTCTGATCTTTATTATTTCTCTTCTCCTGCTGGGTTTAGGCTTTATTTGCTGTTCTTTCTCCAGCTCCTTTAGGTGTAGGGTTAGGCTGTGCATTTGAGACCTTTCTTGTTTCTTGAGAAAGGCTTGTATTGCTATACACTTTCCTCTCAGGACTGCCTTTGCTGTATCCCAAAGATTTTGAACAGTTGTGTTTTCATTTTCATTGGTTTCCATGAATTTTTAAAATTCTTCTTTAATTTCTTGGTTGACCCATTCATTCTTTTGTAGGATGCTGTTTAGCCTCCATGTATTTGAGTTCTTTCCGACTTTCCTCTTGTGATTGAGTTCTAGTTTCAAAGCACTGTGGTCTGAAAATATGCAGGGAATGATCCCAATCTTTTGGTACCGGTTGAGACCTGATTTGTGACCTAATATGTGATCGATTCTGGAGAATGTTCCATGGGCACTAGAGAAGAATGTGTATTCCGTTGCTTTGGGATGGAATGTTCTGAATATATCTCTGAAGTCCATTTGGTCCAGTGTGTCATGTAAAGTCTTTATTTCCTTTTTGATCTTTTGCTTAGATGATCTGTCCATTTCAGTCAGGAAGGTGTTAAAGTCCCCCACTATTATTGTATTGTTGTCAATGTGTTTCTTCGCTTTTGTTATTAATTGCCTTATATAATTGGCTGCTCTCATGTTAGGGGCATAGATATTTACAATTGTTAGATCTTCTTGTTGCATCGACCCTTTAAGTAGGATATAGTGTCCTTCTTCATCTCTTATTACAGTCTTTGTTTTAAAATCTAATTTGTCTGATATAAGGATTGCCACCCCAGCTTTCTTTTGGTGTCCATTAGCATGGTACATGGTTTTCCATCCCCTCACTTTCAATCTGGGGGTGTGTTTGGGTCTAAAATGAGTCTCTTGCAGACAGCATATTGATGGGTCTTGGTTTTTAACCCAATCTGATAGCGTGTGTCTTTTGATTGGGGCACTGAGCCCATTTACATTCAGGGTAACTATCGAAAGGTATGAATTTAGTGCCATTGTACTGCCTGTAAGGTGACTGTGACTGTATATTGTCTGTGTTCCTTTCTGATCTTTGCTGCTTTTAGGTTCTCTCTTTGCTTAGAGGACCCCTCTCAATATTTCTTGGAGGGCTGATTTCGTGTTTGCAAATTCCTTTAGTTTTTGTGTGTCCTGGAAGCTTTTTATCTCTCCTTTTATTTTCAATGACAGCCTAGCAGGATATAGTATTCTTGGCTGCATATTTTTCTCGTTTAGTGCTCTGAAGATATCTTGCCAGTCCTTTCTGGCCTGCCAGGTCTCTGTGGATAGGTCTGTTGCCAATCTAATATTTCTACCATTATAGGTTACACATCTCTTCTCCCGAGCTGCTTTCAGATTTTCTCTGTCTCTGAGACTCGTAAGTTTTACTATTAGATGTCGGGGGGTTGACTTATTTTTATTGATTTTGCGAGGGGTTCTCTGTGCCTCCTGGATTTTGATGCCCATTTCCTTCCTCACATTAGGGAAGTTCTCTGATATTATTTGCTCCAATATACCTTCTGCCCCTCTCTGTCTTTCTTCTTCTTCTGGGATCCCAATTATTCTAATGTTGTTTCGTCTTATCATATCGCTTCTCTCTCGAATTCTGCCCTTGCGATTCTATAGTTGTTTCTCTTTTTCTCAGCCTCTTTATTTTCCATCATTTGGTCTTCTGTATTACTGATTCTCTCTTCTGCCTCATTTATCCTAGCAGTTAGTGCCCCCATTTTGGATTGCACCTCATCAATAGCCTTTTTGATTTTGACTTGGTTAGATTTTAGTTCTTTTATTTCTCCAGAAAGGGTTTCTCTAATAACTTCCACGCTTTTTTCAAGCCCAGCTAGTATCTTTAAAGTCATGATTCTGAACTCTAGGTCCGACATCGTACTAATGTTCGTATTGTGTAGGTCCCTGGCTGACGGTAGTACCTCTTGTTCTTTTTGCTGAGGTGATGTTTTTTGTCTTGTCATTTTGTCCAGAGGAGAATAGATGAATGAGAGAACAAAATGCTAACAGGTTAACAACATCCCCAGCAAATATACAGTATACAAATCAGAAAAGACCTGAAACCAGGGGAAAAAAAAGGGAAAGAAAGAAAAAAGAAAGAGAAAAAAAAAGATAAAAAGAAAAACAGAACAATACAAAAAAAGCAGAATATGATCAAATATGATCAGGCTAGTCCATAGATCAGTGCCACACACTAGATTTTGGGCGTATTTTGGCGTGTTAGAAAAAAGTGCCTCCTAAAATTTTAAAGGAAGAAAAACATATATGTACAAAATAAGGGTTGGTACAATGAAGGGATGGAAGATGACTGTAAAGATGTGAATTATAAAAGATTTTATAAAAGGAATTGATAAGTTGTTTGAAAAAAAGAAAGAAGATTAAAAAAAATAAAAGAAAAAAGGGAGAGAATGTGATCAGGCAGGAGACTAGAACAAAGCCATACACTAGTGATTTAGGGTATATTTTGATCTTTTAGAAGAAACTGTATCTCAAAATTTTGAAGAGAGAACAACTTATACATATATGCCAAAAAGAAGGGTAACTACTATGAAGGGATAAAATATTGACTCTAAAAATGAAAAATAAATTTTTTTTTAAAAAAAGGTATTGATAAGATGTTGTTTGCAAAAGGAAAAAGAAAAATTAAAAAAAAAAGTTAAAAAATTAACTTTGATGAACTAATGAATCATGGTAAAAAAAAAAGCCATGAATTTGATGTGCAGTATTCCCCTAGCGCTGGAGTTCTCCCGTTCTCCTTGATCGGTAAACTTGGTCTTGGCTTGCTGGCTGTTCGTGCTGATCTTCTGCGGGAGGGGCCTGTTGCCGTGGTTTCCAAATGTCTTTGCTGGAGGCTGAATTGCCCCGCCTTGTCGGTCTGGGCTAAGCAAGCTGCTTGGGTTTGCTCTCAGGAGCTTTTGTTCCCTGCAAGCTCTGGTACAGCTTTGGAGGACCAGGGTGAAAATGGTGGCCTCCCAATCTCCACCCGGAGGAGCTGAGAACTCGGGGCCCTGCTCCTCAGTGTGCCCCCAGAGAAAAGCAGTCACTCCCGTCTCCCCGGTCTCCGGCTGCACTCCGTGCTCACCCGGCCTGTGACCGAGCGTTTCTATCTCCGGCACCCGACCCCGTGTGGTCTCCAAACCCAGCAGATCCCTGCGGTGCGTTTCCGCGCCACTCCTCCCGGGGGAGAAAGGGGAGTCTCCCTGGCTCTGCCGCTTGTTCGGTCCCTGCTGAAGGAGCAGTGGGCCGACTGGGCCACGGATCACAGTTTTTGGCAACCCTGAGCTGAGAGCCCGCACCTTGGCTTTGTCTCTGCAGCCGGCTTCCCCGCTCCGATACCTGGGAGCTCTGCCGCACTCAGGTACCCCCGGTCTTTCTGTGACCCCCGAGGGTCCTGAGAGCGCACTGTCCCGGGAGGATTCCACCCCCCGGTTAGCCACTGGAGCGATGTCCCTCAGCGCAGCCGGCTTCTAAAAGGTCCGATTTTGTGCTCCGCGGCTCTATCACTTGCCAGAAGCCGCCGACGGAGGCCCTCTCCCCCGCCATCTATTCTCCCGAATATCGCCTCGGATTCACTTCTCCACACGTCCTACCTTCCAGTAAGTGGTCGCTTCTCTGTTGAGAGTTGTTGCTACTCTCCTCTTCGGTCTCCTGTTGAGTTCGTAGGTGTTCAGAATGCTTTGATCCCTATTCAGCTGAATTCCTGAGACCAGATGAAATCTAGGTCTCCTACTCCTCCACCATCTTGCTCCGCCCCCGAAATTATCTTTTTTTTTTAAAGACTTATTTCAGGGGCGCCTGGGTGGCTCAGTCGTTAAGCATCTGCCTTCAGCTCAGGTCATGATCCCAGGGTCCTGGAATCAAGACCCACATCAGGCTCCCTGCTCTGCGGGAAGCCTGCTTCTTCCTCTCCCAATCCCCCTGCTTGTGTTCCTGCTCTATCTCTTAAAAACAAACAAACAAACAAACAAACAACTTTATTTATTTCAGAGCGAGTGAGTGCGGAGCCCCACACAGGGCTCAATCTCAGAAGCCTGAGATCATGACCTGAGCTGAAACCGAGTCACTCAACCGACTGAGCCACTCAGGCTCCCCCGAGGCTATAATCTTTGTAATACATATATTACTCTAAGTATTCCATGAAAAAAACCCATGTAAATTTGTAAATTTTAAAATGTTAATTTAGATATTTAAGGAATCTTTGGACTGAGATTTAATTTCCCTCATTTTGGTCTTAAGAATTCCCACTGCCAACACTTGAAACATTTCAATAAACATTTAAGAAAAAAAATGCCAATTAAGGAAAAGCAGCTTACAATATTTTTCATACAAAAATCTTAATGTTAACAAAATATTCAGATTGTCTTCCATCTTAAATGAAAATATATCTTGGTTAACATTTCAGTAAGTGTTTAGGGAAAAAATACCAATTAAGGAAAAGTAGCTTACAATATTTTTCATACAGAAATCTTGATGTAATGAAATTTTCAGATTGTCTTCGAGCTTAAATAAAAATATATCTTGGCTATTACCATGTTAAAATTTAAGGTTTAAATCTCTTACCTGTAGGCAAATTGAATATTAGGAAATCTGGCTAAGAGAGCTTCATATGTTTCTTTCAATCTACTGATATCACGAGATAGCTGCCTGCGCTTTTCCAGAAGTCCTTCCTCTTTGTTTTCTGAACAGTAAATCACAAGTAAATTGAAACAGTTTTACAAATGCAAATATTCTACAATTTAAAGAAACTATCAATAACCTCTATTTCCAAAGCATTCCTAGAAGCAAAACACAAATTTCTGGTATTAAATAAAAAGCATGCTTAACATCAAAGATCAAGTAGACAATTATTACCAATAAGTAACAGAAATTTTCATTCCAAAAACAATGTATGAATTGAATAACTATGAATGTGGAAATATACAAATGACATTTTGGGAGTTTTCAAATGGCACTTTGGTAACCGAAGCAGGAAACTGTCAGTAGTGAGTTTTCAAAAATTCAAAGAGCTGGGAAGATGGTAAAGTGGAGAATCTTAACCTCACCACATCCCATGGATTCAACTAGATAACACCTACATCAGTGTAACCCAGAAAACATCCCAAACACTTAGAGAACAGACTCTCCACAGCTAAATGTAGAGAAAGGCCACATGAAATAGGGTAGGAAGGGCAGAGATAGTCAGGAGCCAAGCAGACCTGTGGGACTGTCAATGGAAGGGAGGGACACCGAGGACACAAAATGGGGAGAGAAATGGACTGTAGTCACACCAGGCATCCCAAGCACAGGGAACCGCAAGGGGAAGACAAACCCCCACTGAGCGGCGCCTGGGTGGCTCAGTCAGTTAAGCGTCTGCCTTCGGCTCAGGTCATGAGCCTAGGATCCTGGGATCAAGCCCCGCATCGGGCTCCCTGCTCAGCATTGTCGGCTTCTCCCTCTACCTGCTTGTGCTCTCTCGTGCTCACTCTCTCTCTCCCCCTCTCAAATAAATAAAATCTGAAAAAAACAAAACAAAACAAAAAACAAAAAAAACATTTCCCTTTGAAAACCAGAGGGGCATTACTTCACAAGTTCTTATGATCTGTAGGGCCTAACACTTGGAACTTTAAAACTCAGCAGGCTCAGCTCTAAGAGAGCTGGGAGGGTGAGAGGAAACAGACTCCCCGTCCTTAAAGAGATAGCACGATAAAAGCAGCAGTCTGAAAAGCTGCCTGGAGTATTCTGGTGAGAGATTTGTTTACCAATCTCAGAGCATGTGCTGGAGGGGCAGGGATCCTTGGGAGACTTCTCCGGGAACAAAAGAGCTGGCAGGCACTATTTTCCTCCTTTGCCACCCCCCAGATCCTAGACACACAGACACTTGCAGGAACCAGCATAGGTCTCCACCTAGCTTGCTAACAGTGCATCTCACCCAAGTTTTGCAGACACGTCCCTTCCCACAACAGACCTGTGCAAACCTTGATAAAACTGCTGCCCCACTGTGCTTTCTCGTGTGGACCTGCCCCCTCCAATACGCTCTGGGTCAGAGCCCATCCAAAGCAGTACAAGCCAGGCAGGGTACAAACAGCTCCAACAGGGACCAACCCCACTCTAAAATAACTCCCTACGCTGCAGAGAGGGGAAGATAACTATATATACCAGTCCTACTGCGGCCTCAGCAGTAGGCTGGGGTCAGATACCTGGTCTGACTGCAGGCCTCACCCACCGAGGACTTTCTCAGGGGAAAACAACAAGCAGTTCTACCCCAGCTACCCCAGCAGTTCTGTGCTAGTGGGCCATCACTACCTACCTCTTCTCCCCTCCCTACCTTACTTCCCCTGACACTAGCTGCTGATGCCCCCAGATTTCAGGGCAGTGTTGGGGTCTCCGTGTAGTCTCAGCAGCTTCTTCCTCTCTGGCAAACACCTGGTCTGACTCAAGTCAAGCCCAAGGCAGCCCCAGACTGGCCCACTAACAACACAGAGTTCAAACCCTGTCCATGACAGGCAAAGAGAGACATTCCAGACGAGTAGACTAAGGGCAAAAGCAGCTTAGCCACAATAGTAGGGTACACATATCACACAGGAGATACCACTAAAGCATCAGGTTCTGGTGAACAGGGGACACTGCGCTGAGGGCATTACAGGACTCTTCTTCAGGTCATTACTCTCAAGAGCAAGAGATGTAGCTAATGTTCCTAATGTGTAGAAACAGACAGAGAGAGACAAAGTGAGGAGATGCAGGGCTATATCCCAAAGGAAAGAGGAGGACAAAATCACAGCAAGAGCTCAATGAAACACAGAGGAGGAATATGCCTGATAAAGAATTTAAAGTCATGATCATAAAAATACTCACTGGACCTGGAAAAGACTGAACTTCAGTGAGATCCTTAACAAAGAGAAAACAAAGGAGAACCAATCAGAGATGAAGAACTCAATAAATGAAATTAAAAATACTCAAGATGGAACAAATAGTAGACTAGAGGCAGAAGAATGGATCAGCAACCTGGAGGACAAAGTAACAGAAGGCAATCAAGCTGAACAGGTGATAAGACAAAATAACAAAAAATGATAACAGACTTAGGGAACTCAGCAATACCATCAAGTGTAATAACTTTCCCATTATAGAGATTCCAGAAGAGAGAGAAAAGGGGGCAGAAAATTTGAAGAAAGAATAACTGAAAACTTCTTGAATCTAGGGAAGGAAACAGATCTAGATCCAGGAGGCAAAGAGAGCCCCCAACAAAATCAACTCAAGGGGGTCCAAACCAAGACACACAGTAATTAAAATGGCAAAAAGTGTTATAGAGAATTTTAAAAGCATCAAGAGAAAACAGTTACAAGCAAGGGAAACTCCGTAGGCTATCAGTTGATTTTTCGGTGCAAACCTTGTAAGCCAGAAGGGAGTGGCATGCTATATTCAAGTGCTGAAAGAAAAAAAGCCTGTAGCCAAGAGTATTCTATCCAGCAAGGCCATCATTCTTTTTAAGTGCACATGGAACATTTTAAAGAATAGATCACATATTAGGCCACAAAGAAGTCTCAACAAGTTCTTACCACAATGCTAAGAAACTAGAAATCAACCACAAGAAAGTCTTCAAAAAGTACAAACACATGAGGGATAAAAACATGCTACTAAAGAATGAATGGGTCAACCAAGAAAAAAAAAAGCGAAATAAGTACATGGAGACAAATGAAAATGAAAACACAGTGGTCCAAAATCTTTGGGAGGCAGCAAGCTGTTCTAAGGGGGAAGTTTATAGCAATACAGGCCTACCTCAAGAAGCAAGAAGTACCTCAAACATCCTAACCTTATACCTAAAGGAGCTAGAAAAACAACAAACAAAACCCAAAACCAGCAGAAAGAAATAATATAGATTAGAGTAGAAACAAATAAAATAGAAACTAAAAGAAAAGAATAAAAGAAACCAGGAGTTGGTTTTTTAAAGATCAAACAAAATTGATAAACCTTTAGCCAGACTCAGCAAGAAAATAAAGAAGACTCAAATGAAATCAGAAATGAGAAGAAATAACAACCAACACCACAGAAATACAAACAACTGTAAGAGAATATATTATGAAGAAATATATACCAACAAACTGGACAACCTAGAATGGATAAATTCCCAGAAACATATAACCCAACAAAAATTTATTTCTTCCTGTTTCAGTTTAACAGACTGACTACCAAAAATGAAACTGATTCAGTAAGTAATATAAAAACTCCCAAAAAGCCAAAGTCCAGGACCAGACAGTTTCATAGACAAATTCTATCAAACTTTTTTTTTTTAAGACTTTTATTTATTTGACAGAGAGAGACACAGCAAGGTAGGAAACACAAGCAGGGGGAGTGGGAGAGGGAGAGGGAGAAGCAAGTTTCCTGCAGAGCAGGGAGCCTGACGTGGGGCTTGATCCCAGGACCCTGGGATCATGACCAGAGCCAAAGGCAGACGATTAACGACTGAGCCACCCAGGTGCCCCTCTATCAAACACTTAAAGAACAGTTAATACCTATTCTTCTCAAACTATTCCAAAAAATAGAAAAGGAAGGAAAACTTCCAAATTCATTCTATGAAGCCAGCATTACCCTGATTAAAAAAAACAAACAAACAGATAAAGACACTAAAAAAAGAGAACTACAGGCAGTATTTCTGATGAATATAAATGCAAAAATCCTCAACAAAATATTAATAAACCAAATCCAACAATACATTAAAAGAAATCATTCACCACAATCAAATGTGATTTATTCCTGGGTTAAAAGGTGGTTAAATATTCACAAATCAGTCAATGTGATATATCACATCAACAAAATAAGGGATAAAAACCATACAATCATTTCAATAGATGGAGAAAAAGCATTTGACAAAGTACAACATCCATTCATGATAAAAGCCCTCAACAAACTAGGTTTAGAGGATATATACCTCAATATAATAAAGGCCCTATATGAATAACCCACAGCTAACAACATACTCGATGGGGAAAAACAGAGCTTTTCCCCTAAGATCAGGAACAAAACAAGGATGCCTACTCTCACCACTTGTATGCAACATGATACTAAAGTCCTAGCCACACCAATCAGCCAACAAAAAGAAATAAAAGGCATCCAAACTGGTAAGGAAGAAGTAAAACTCTCACGATTTCCAGATGACATGATACTATATATAGAAAGCAAAAGATCTACCAAAAAACTGCTAGAACTGATAAATGAAGTCAGTAAAGTTGCAGGATACAAAATCAATGTACAGAAATCTGTTGCCTTCTATGTACCAATAATCAAACAGCCGAAAAATTATACACCAATAATGAAACAGCAGAAAAATTAATATTCCCGTTTACAATTGCACCAAAAATAATAAAACACCTAGAAATAAACTTAACCAAGAGGGTAAAAGACCTGTACACTGAAAACTATAAAGCACTGATGAATAAAATTATAGATAACATACACAAATGAGAAGGTATTCCAGATTCATGTACTGGAAGAACAAATAATGTTAAATTCACCATACTACCCAAAGCAATCTACAGATGTAATGCAATCTCTAACAAAATACCAGTATCATTTTTCACAGAACTACAACAAACAATCCCAAAATTTGTACGGAACCACAAAAGACCCTGAAGAGCCAAAGCAATCTTGAAAAAGAAGAACAAAGCTGGAGGTATCACAATCCTACATTTCAAGATATACTATAAAGTTGCAGTAATCAAAAGAGTATGGTACAGGCACAAAAGTAGACACATAGATCAATGGAATAGAATAGAGCGCCCCAAAATAGATCCATGATTATACGGTCAATTAACCTTCGACTAAGCAGAAAAGAATATACAATGGGAAAAAGTCTCTTCAACAAACGATACTGGGGAACTGGACACTTTCTTACACCATACACAAAATTAAACTCAAAATGAATTAAGGACCTAAACGTGAGACTTGAAACCATAAAAATCCTAGAAGAAAGCATAGGCAATAATTTCTCTGCCATCAGCTATACCAACATTTTTCTAGATAGGTCTCCTGAGGCACGGAAAACAAAAGCAAAAATAAACTATTGGACTACGTCAAAATAAAAAGCTTCTGCACAGCAAAGGAAACAACCAACAAAATTAAGACAACCTATGGAATGGGAGAAGATATTTACAAATGACATATCCATTAAGGGTTAGTATCCAAAATATACAAAGAACTTAAACAACTCAACACTAAAAAAAACAAATAATCCAATTAAAAATGTGCAGAAGACATAAACAGACCTTTCTGCAAAGACACAGAGATGGCCAACAGACACATGAAAAGATGCTCAACATCACTAATCACCAGGGAAATGCAAATCCAAACCACGAGATACTACTTCACACCTGTCAGAATAGCTATACTCAAAAAACACAAGAGACAACAAGTGATGGCAAGCTTGTGGAGAAAAAGGAACACTTGTGCACTGTTGGTGGGAACGCAAACTGGTGTAGGCACTATGGAAAACAGTATGGAGGCTCCTCAAAAAATTAAAAATATGATTACCATCTAATCCAATAATTTCAAATACTGGGTATTTACCCAAAGAAAATGAAAACACTAATTTGAAAAAATATACAACCCTATGTTTATTGCTGCATTACTTGCAATAGCCAAATTATGGAAGCAGGCCATGTGTCTATCAATAGATGAATGGATAAAGATATGATATAGATACACAATGGAATATTACTCAGCCACAAAAAAGAATGAAATCTTGCCATTTGCAATGCAGACAGATCTAGTGAGTACAACGCTAAGTGAAATAAGTCAGTCAGAAAAAGACAATTACCATATGATTTCACTCATGTGGAATTTAAGAAACAAAGCAGCAAATAAGGAAAAAAAAGAGACAAACCAAAAAACCACCAACTATAGTTAACAAATTGATGGGGAAGGTGGTAGGCAGATGGGTGAAATGTAACAGGTAAAATGGATTAAAAGTACACTTAATCATGATGAGCATTGAGTAATGTACAGAACTGTTGAATCACTATACACCTGAAACTAAAATAACGCTGTATATTAACTATACTGGGATTAAAAAAAACAGCTGTTTTATACTTAGTTGACCCTTAAACAATGGGGTGACTTGGGAGGAAGGTTGGGGCACTGACACCCCTGCCCCACACAGTTCTAAATCCATGACGAATTTTTTTTTTTTTAAGTAACCTCCATGCCCAACATAGGGTTTGAATTCACCACCCTGAGATCAAGAGTTGTATGCTCTACCCACTGAAGCAGACACCCCTAAATCTGTGTTTAACTTTTGACCCTCAAACTTAACTAGTGGTCAAATGTTAACAAGAAGCTTTATGGAGAAGATAAATGGTTAACACATAGTTTGCATGTTTTATGTATTATATATTGTGTTCTTACAATTAATTAAGTTAAAGAAAATACATTTACAGTACTAAATTGTATTTATCAAAACAAAAAAAAGCCTCAAGTAAGTAGACCCATGCAGTTCAAGCTTATGTTCAGGGATCAACTGTATTTAGAAATATTTCTTACACTAACACCCATTAATAGAGTAAAAAAAAGAAATTCCTACTTGCTATTTCCTTTATTGAATTTCATTTCTATCAACAATCACTACCTCCTAATGATTTAATATCAAGTGTTTAAATGCAAACCTTCATAATTTAGCTTTTTCATTTCGGCTTCAAGTTTTTCTTTAAGTTTCTTCACAGCCTCTAAAGCTTCTTGATCCTTCCTGTAGCCACTATCCATCTTCTTAACTTCAGCCTGTTTAGTCTTTAATTCTTGTTGGGCATGTTTCAACTTCATCTGAGCCTGTTATTGAAAATTTAATAGACTATGTGAGGCAGACAGTGCTAAATGATTAAATGACCGCAAATGCAGATTGGTTTAAGAAACATCAGCCTTGGGCGCCTGGGTGGCTCCGTTGGTTAAGCGACTGCCTTCAGCTCGGGTCGTGATCCTGGAGTCCCGGGATTGAGTCCCGCATCGGGCTCCCTGCTCAGCAGGGAGTCAGCTTCTCCCTCTGACCCTCCCCCTTCTCATGTACTCTATCTCATTCTCTCTCTCAAATAAATAAATAAAATATAAAAAAAAAGAAACATCAGCCTTGAAAATGTTAACTGTTAGGTCACTTGCATTAATATCTCAAGAGATGAATCATTTCCCAGTATTTTCTCCTCAGAAAACTACTGAGTCTAAATGAATATATGCTTAACATAATTCATCAAATAATTTATGTCCATATTTTTAATACTTATTAAAGATGACACTACTGAGTTCAAAAATTATATCAAAGAATAACTGTCATTAGCTGGTTAAATTAAAACACAACAGAAAGCTAGTAATCAGAACTCTAGTTCTCCTTTCATATGTGTATTTGTATTTGTGAGTGTTGTTCAATTAACAGTGGAGAAACTGTATTGAGCAATAAGAAAAATTACACTGGAATGGGAAACTGACAAGAGAAATTTCAGTGCTAGGAGTAGGATATTCAAATGCTAGTTTATATAACTGAGTACACTGTTCCTTAAAAGAATGAACCAGTATTCTGAGATCTAGGTGGATGTCACCTCATCTAAAACTGAATAATGGTAGACTTTTCCCAATATATAGTAAGTTAACAGAAAAACTGAGAGGACCTGAAAGTTTTTCTATTGATTTCTTACAGATTTTTGTGACCATCATCTTTGAATGGAAAAGTTGCAAACGCATAACAGAAAATGTTGAACAGGATTAATACCAACACAGACATGAACATCTGTATATACTTTTAAAGAGGAGTTGTCTTTTAAAAAAAATTAAAAATACGTGAAAAAATATATGTATTTTTTCTTTCTGCCCTCAACTCTTGCATCCACAGGACTTTAAAAGCTGCACAACTATCTCAACAAATTTGAGGGGCGCCTGGGTGGCTCAGCCGTTAAGCGTCTGCCTTCGGCTCAGGTCATGATCCCAGGGTCCTGGGATCGAGCCCCGCATCTGAGCAGGGAGCCTGCTTCTCCTTCTCCCACTCCCCCTGCTTGTATTCCCTCTCTCGCTGTGTCTCTCTCTGTCAAATCAATAAATAAAATCTTTAAAAAAAAAAATAAATCTGAAAGCCTTCACTGACAAGCCTTAAAGATTATGAAATCAGTGTAGGGAAAGGGAAGACTAGAATGGGGGTGAGAGGGAGGTAAAGGTACTTCCAAGGACAAAAGGTAAGGACTAAGTGTGGTGGGCACAGAAATGGACAGGATGTTTGTTTTCCTGTTTCCTGCAGTCTTAGACTGCAACCTTGTTTCCTGCAGTCTTAGACTGCAACTTTATGTTGCCAACAAAAACAGGGAAAATAAGAAAAAAGAAGAAATTAACCTCAAATATTCCATACAATACTACAAATAAAGCACTTATTGAATTTACAATTTCAACTAATCTATGAAGGTAGTTAATGTTGTATAGCATCTTAAACTATTGTCATCAATATTTAGCAGTTAAGATATACAGTGGCAGAATAACAAATTCCATGACACTGATCTGATTATTGTCAATGTTTTACAACAACTGCCAAAGCATAATGTGAAGCAGCTTCTTAAAAACAAAAAACAAACAATCACACGTTGTTAATGTCTGTATTTACCTGTTTGGCTTCTGTCTGAGCTTTACTTATGTCATTTTTACAGGCCATCATTTGACCAGCAAGAGTTGCTTCGGCCCCGTCGTCACTGCTAGACAGTCCGGCAGAAACAGCATTGAAGTGCTGCTGTGCAGCAGCCAAAGCTTCAGCATCTTTGTTACCTGCTTCCTGAAGGGCGTTCAGCCCATCTGTTATCTTTTTAACCTCTTTTTCCTTTGCTGCTAAAGTTCTAGAATCCTTCAGAAAGAGTTTCAAATTGGAGAGTATTAGGTTTTAGGAAAGACATCCATTTTTTCCTATACACCAATACCTTTAGGTCATCAAATTTCATAGCATTTTGAAGTGGACATGGTTAAAAGGAAAATAATTTAACCATCATAACTTTAAATACTTTATTTCCATTTTGAAATTCACCGTTTTTCAGATAAATGTGCCCTTATACTACCAGAAGTACTTTCATTCCATATGTTATAGTCTAATCTAGAAATTAGCTAAAATATTATAGTGCAAACCAACCATTTGAAGAAACTAAAAATCACTTTCTAGAGCCTCAAAATTGAATAACCATTCTACTCTAAGCTTCAAAGTAGAGACTATAAGATTAGGAGCGTGTACATGAAAATTTATAAACTATCAAAGACCATAAAATTTAAATATTAAATACTTGTGGGAACAGCATTACTAATACTTAACATCTTTTAAGTTATATGCACTATAACACCATATATACTAAGATACCAGCACTGGAAAAAAATAGAATCCAGCTATATTATTTACATGAAAGTGACCAGAAGTTTTGGCCCACATGTTTAACTCATGATTCATTAAATATTTATTAGATGTTTACCATGTACCAGGCATTGTTCTAGACATTAAAGACATGGTCCTCAGGGACCCTATATTCTAGAATGGAAGACATAGGAAAAAATAAAGCAAGGTAAAGGGACGGAAAGTGATGGGAACTACTATTTTAAGAACAATGAGGGAAGGCCTTTTTGTGGTGACATTTTGAGCAGAAACCTACATGAAATAAAAGGAATGATCATGCTGATACTAAGGGGACAAATACTAGGCACATTCTGCAGAATATGCTTAGGTGTTTGAGGAACTGTGGTTGGAACACAGTGAACAAGTGGAAAAGGAGCCAGGAGTCCTATCAGGTAGGGATGGTAAAGGCTCAATTATACATGTGACTTTGAAACCATTAAAGAATTTTAAGTACAAGAGTGATGTCATACAATTTATATTTCAGCTTCTGTAAAGAGCTGACTGTAGAGCAGCAAGAGTAAAAGCAGGATAACTGATATGGACACTATTACAGCATCCTTCATGGGTGGTGATGGCTTGCAGGTTAGCAGTGATGGAGGTGATGAAAAGTGGCTGTATTGAGGATGTACTTTAAAAGTCAAGAGAGTTTGCTGATGGATTAGATATGGAGTTTGAGAAAAAAGGTGGAATGCAGGAAGACTCCAGGATTTCTGGACTGAACAATTAGGTTAATAGTGGTGCCTGGTACCATTTTCTAACATGGAGAAAATTCAACTACTAAAAGAAGTTTGGGGGGCGTGTGGGTGGCTCAGTAGTTAGGTGTCTGCCCTGGGCTCAGGTCATGATCCTAGGGTCCTGGGACTGAGCCCCACATTGGGCTCCCTGCTTGGCGGGAAGCCTGCTTCTCCCTCTCCCGCTCCCCCTGCTTGTGTTTCTGCTCTCGCTATCTCTCTGTCAAATAAATAAATAAAATCTTAAAAAAATAATAATAATAAAAGAGGTTTGAGTAGGCAGGGAAAATTTAAGAGTTCTATTTTTGATACATTAAGTTTTAGACTTTTTGTTAATCATATATGTAAAACATCAATCCAATAGCTGGACAAATGTTCAGGGAAGGAGTCAAGGTTAATTATAGATCTGAACATCACCCTGCAGATGGTATTTTAGGGCTACCAGGCTGGATGGGATTACCTAAGAAATGAGTGCATATAAAGAAGCCTTTTTGTGTTTTGATTTGTCTATCTAGACTGGATTCAATATTCCCATATTCAACTACCTAATCAACATCTCTACTTAAATGTTTAACAGGCACCTCAAGCCTATTACGTTCACACTGTACTTCTTTCTATTCTCTACTAAGCTAATGGTAACGATATTTCCAATTGTCAGAGACAAAAATCCACCGCTATATTCCTAGCCCAAACTATACTTGGTCCATAGCACACACTCAATAAATATTAATTAAAGACAAATGTATACTAGTGGAATTAAACTGAACTTCATATTTACTTACCTCAATCATATTTTTCTCTAGCTCTTTGCGTTTGTTCTCTTCACTTGCCAGATTTTTCTTCTTGAGATCAAAGGCACTTTGAGATTTAGTATTAACTCGCTGAGCTTCTGCAAGAGCATCTTCTAAAGATCGGAGTATACCTCCAATTTCCTATAATCAAATGCACCCAATTCAATCAACGTACTTATAATTTACTCATGTCATCATCTTCTTGTATGACTTCTAGAAGATTTACTTTTTATAAGCTATTTATTATCATACATTAAGATTAACAAATCAATATAGAAGACCATGCCCAGTAAATATTATTGTATATAACTTTTTCACAGTATATTATCTATTCTTACGTATATATCTGACCTTATCTTTTCCTTTTTCCAACTCTTCTATTTCATGACTAAGTGCTTTTATTTTTTTATCATTCTCAGACAATTTTTCTTGAAGCTTTACAACTTTATCTTGCATTTCTTTTAACTCCTCGGCTGAGCGTTCTTTTGTATCTTCAGCCAGCAAAAACTGATAGGCAATATATAAACGACTCAAATGTTCTATTTCCCTCATTACTTTTTGGTATTCCAAGTAGGAAGATCTTTCCTAGAACAGAAATCACCAATAAAGTATAATTCAAACTTCATATTTTTCAACAAATTTAGAAAGACTCAAACTATAGCAACATGTATAAAATTTCCCATCACATAATAGATTTTGTCTTAGATTAGTGATCATGGATTATAGAGACTTTAACATTAGACCTCTGGCTTTTCAGACAGAATTATACCATCTCCAGTGAATCTCATGTGGCTATTTCTTCTAATATATAATCAGGCAGTTGGGATTAACAAAGAAATGTAGACATAAGGTTCATAAACTGGGGTTAGTAAGTAGTCTATAAATATGACCTATAGAACCACCAATGATATACTATTACATGTATTTTGTAGTAGTATTACCGAGATGCCTACCCAACATTCAATCATGTAACTACTTACAAACATATGCTCACACATTACTAAGCTTGATTCCAATAAGGACCTGCTAGGGCAGACAGAATAATAATTAAATCTCGAACTTGCAGGTGAAGAAATGAATTCAGTGTGGTTAAATGACCTCTCCGTGTTGTTAGATTTAGAAAGAATTTGGCAAAATCGGGTATAAAACCTGGGTTTAAACTCATGATCTAGTGTTTTCTACTAACTGTTCATATAAACAGGATACCTTCAAGATCACTTTTCAGTTTTTCTAATAACATCCACACTACTATATGGATTCAGAAGACAACTTTTGAGAAGTATCAAATTTTAATGAGCATTTAATGAATTCCTAAATGCATAACTTTAAAATCAATGCGCTCTAAGTGCATTTTTTCACTGAAACATTGATGATGTCAGAAGCTACAAAGATTACAGAAAAAATCTGGACATCTGTTTCAGTACCCCTCACTTACCAACTGTCTTGACAGCAGTAATTGCAGTGATAGCCCCTATTATCCTAGGAGTTATTCACTCTACCAACAGGGTTACTAGGACTGTGATATCCTCAAGAAATAGTCCACTAATTCCAATTATCCAGGAAAATTCAGACTTCTCTTCAACAAATTATTACAATCTGGCATATCATTTTCTGAGATTATGAAGAGCAATGATTAATAGATAGGAAGAACATGGCCTCTACAAGAAGGCTGATTATCAAGTACCAACTCTTAACTCCAATCTCTCCCACAGAAAAATTCCTGAGATGTGGTATACATTTCATCTCTATTTGTATAATCTTGAATATGTCACCATTTTTGAGAGACGTTCTAGCTGGCTATCCTCTATACAGTATATACCTCTTTTAATTTTTGAATGGTTGGAGTAATCTCTTCTTCAAGTATCTGGAAAATAAAGGAAAATCAAATTTTTCAGTATGAAAGTACCATTAAAAACACTGAAAAGGAAAAGAAGCATGAAGTCCAAGGAAAACTAGGGAGGGGGAATTTCCTCTTTACAGCAGAGAAACTCTGAAATTACTCTCGTCTTTAAAGATGTTTTATGTAAATTTAATTACCGTCTTAATTTCTTTCAGCTTAGCCTCTTTTTTTTCTATAGTTTTCTGGGCAGCTATTTTTTTGTACTCATACATCCTGGTTCCAGCTGCTTCTTCTATCATGGACAAAATCTGGAAAGACAATTATATTAATGTTTTTAGAATCCAAGATAAAGAACTTCATTGGAGTTTACAAAAAGTATATAATTTAAGGCCTTAACTTCACTCAGCATTTTACCAAATAGTGTCCCAAATGGATGAGAGACGTTAAGTGCATGTATTACCCGTAGCCCTAACATTCAAGAAATATTTCTGACCTTTACTCCAATCCTAAAATCAAACTGCATGCTACACTGAGGTTGCAGAGTAAATCTCTTTTAAAATTGAAGCCAGGGGTGTCTGACTGGCTCAGTCAGCTGAACATGTGACTCTTGATTTTGGGGTTGTGGGTCTGAGCCCCATGTTGAGTATACAAATTACCTAAAAATAAAATTGAAGCCAGTAATTCCTCCCTCCTCTTTTCCTTCATATAGAAGTCTAAGAAAGTAAAGACTAACAACACTCAGTTGTCACTTCAGAAATTTCTAATTAAAATTGTTGCAAGGGATTTCAGTCATTTTTTGCCAACAGGATGAAGCATGACATAACATATGCATTCCAAACACGGCACATGCATTAAGAACTTCGGCAAGTAAATTAATTTTTTGTGCCACAGTTTCTTCATCCACAGGGTACTTAACATCTCACAACACTGTTGAGAATTACACAAAGTAATTCATGTGAAAAGCACTCTGAAAAAGGCAAACACTAGTCAACTGTGTTTTAAAAGCAGAACAATTTTACCAGCACTCCTTTTTCAGAAGCTTCTACTCACCATCAATCCTTATCTCGAGAGGATTATTTCTCTTGAAACCATTTTGATTTCTATGTATTTGACAGGTTTCAAATTAGAAGTTTCCCTTAAAATGTTATCTAAAGAAGATATGCATGACCTATGTTCAAACCAGACTGGTGTTATCAATGATGTTTTCTTCTTAGTTCTTCTCAATAGAAGAGAGTAACTATAGAGCCTTTGTTCTTACACAAAACATTCATTCCTTCATACCAACTCTTTTCAAGGGGGCTTCAAGAAAAAATTAAAATTAAATCTTAATACCCTATGCCCTAAGAAATCCACTGTATGCAATGAACTAATTTCACTCAAATCTTTTTCTGTAGGGTTTAACTCTGACACGGAACAGTGGTTGAGAAAGGCTGCTTGATACAGTCAAATTTCTTTTAATATTGGGCACATAAAACTCTTAGAAGAAAACAGGAGGTTAAGCTCCTTGACATCGGTCATGGTGAGGATTTTTTTTTGGATTTAACACCAAAGCAAAGGCAACAAAGGCGAAAATAAACAAGTGGGATTATATCAAGCTGAAAACCTGCACAACAAAGGAAACCACAAACAAAATGAAAAGGCAACCTATGGAACGGGAGAAAATAGTTATAAGTCATGAATCTGCTAAGGGGTTAATATTCAAATATGTAAGGAACGTGTGTATGGGAACAAACATTTTTCACAAAAAACATACAGATGGCCAGTATGTATATGAAAGGTACTCAACATCACTAATCATCTGGGAAATGCAAATTAAAACCATGAGCTACTACTTCTGTCAGAATGGTTATTATCACAAAGACAAGAAAAAACAAGAGTTGGTGATGCTGTGGAGAAAAGGGAAACCTTATGTACTGTTGGTAGGAATATAAATTGGGTGCAGCCATTATGGAAAACTATGAAGGTTCCTCAAAAAATTAAAAATAGAACTACCTACCATATAATCCAGCAATGCCACTTCTGGATATTTATCCAAAGAATACAAAGACACTAACTTAAAAAGGTATCTGCAACCTCATTTATAATACCAAGACATGAAAACAAAGTGTCCACTGACAGATGAATGGATAAAAAAATGTGATATGTATATACACAATGGAATATTATTCAGTTATTTAAAAAAATACAATCTTGCCATTTGTGACAACATGGATGAAACTTGAGGGCATTATGCTAAGTGAAATAAGTCAGACAGAGAAAGACAAATACTGTATAATCTTACTTGTATGTGGAATCTAAAAAGAAAAAAAGAAAAAACTGAGCAGGGTGTCTGCTTCTCCCTCTGACCCTCTTCCCTCTCGTGCTCTCTCTCTCTCAAATAAATAAATAAAATCTTTTAAAAAATAAATAAAAATAAAAAAAATCTGCTCAACAATGACCCGTGGCTTTTCTTAAACCTTCTCATTTAATCCTCAAAATACATGAGGGAAGAACTGTTGACTCTAATTTACAGATGAGGAAACAAAGGCTCAGAAGGGTTATGTTATACAGCTTTAAAAAGGTGAGGTGACACAGTGCCAAATAGTAAAAAACAAAAAAAAAAACAAAAAATGACTTTCTTTACTAATCACTCTTGGTAATGTTTCCAAGAATTTTAATGGAAGAAATTATGCTTAAAAAATTGATTTAAAAGATTAAAAACAAACAAAGATTAAAAACAATATCTACAATTATAATTTTTACTGTCCACAAATAAAGTATCCTTACCTCTGGAGGTTTCATATTCAATACTTTTGTAATTCGGCCCTGAAAAATGAAATGGCAGTTACTATAATGATAGAGTCATATAGGCATACATGTTTATCCGCCCTGAAGTTGTTCCATCCTAATATACGAATCTTTTGGGAGTTCTTTCTTTTACCTACATTACATTTGAGACCAAAGGTACCTTATAATTCCAGAAATTTGCTATTTACCTTTTCACTTACCAGTGACATACAGTTATTAAATAATACAAAGTTAACTCAGACCATATTTCTGAAACAATATTAATGACATAGAAGTCTCCAGCAAGTATATAAATATATAAATGTTGGCATAACTGTTGAACACTTCTTGATTTTTTTTTTTTTTTTAATGGCTGTGCTCCAAGATAATTTCTAGAAATACATTGCCCACTTCTGGGCCTCAAATAAAAGAGTAAAATCTTTTATTTCAATGCCAGCATACCACTATCAAAAAACAAAACAAAACCCTACTAACTCAACTCTCAGGGCATCATATTACTTAGGATTTAGATTCATTTGAAATCAATTTTCAGCTTTGAGGCTGTGATGTGGTAACAATAATGTTATTTTGGTTGCATTAGGATCCTGCCATTGGCCTTGCTGAGACTTTCTAAGAGGACAGATGGATGGGTCAAGTGAGATAATATAAAGGCAAGACGATATTAGCACTTACTTTTCATTTGAATAAGTTTCTAAGGAAGAAAATTACCTAAAATTTAATATATATTTGAAATAATAAAATGCTTGAATCCAGTACTTTAAAAGGATACATTATGACAATATATTTTTTAAAAAATTTTTACAGTGACTGTGTATTATTCTTGCAATAACAAAATAAGTCAAGGAAAATTACTTCTAGACATTCTTCAAACTTCAAATGTGTATCTTAGAACATATCAGTACATATAAACAACCTATACTCTTAACAGGTACCCAAATACCAGTACAACAGAAAACAAAAAATGGAAAACCCAAAAAGAAGCACTTCTATTATAATAACTTAAAAAATAAACGATGTCAAAACCATTATATAAAGACCATAAATAAAATACCTGCATGATGAGAAAGTGAGGGTTGTTAACATTAAGGCCAACAGAACAGAAGAGATCTTGTACTCTGGTATTGTTTGCATTTACTCCATTGATTAAATATTTATTTCTACCACCAATAACCACCTAAAAGGGAAGTATTTTAAAAAATATAAATGAACATACACATCTTGAATTAAGATGATAAATTCCCAAATATGTTTCACTTGTTTGTTCTGTCCAACTAATGGTAAATAAAACCAATCCTGAGTAAATAATGGAGGAAGTGTGAGATGGTCAACAAGAATATAGAAGTCAATTGTCCTGACTCAATCCAAAAATTTTTGCTAACTAGTTATATAACTATACACAATCCTCCTAACTTCCCCTGCATTGGACTAGATCTCTAAGGTCACTTTTGACTTTGTTTCCAAGTATGTGTAAAACATATTCTAACCCTGATCACTCTTTCTGCAATTTTTCCACCCTCAGAGGTTAACCCCTCTTTCCCCCACTTTTTAATTTCCAAAGAACAGAAGTCAGATACTAAAAACTAAAGAGAAGCAGTTTTGTTTTGGTTTTTGTTTTTGTTGTTTTTGTTTTTAAGAGGGAAAAGGAGAGAGAGAATCTTAAGCAGGTTTCACGCCCTGAGTTAAGAACCACGAGGGGGCTTGATCTCACAACCCCGAGATCATGACCTGAGCTGAAATCAAGAGTCAGATGCTTAACCAACTGAGCCACCCAGGTGCCCCAAAGACAAGCAGTTTGATAACAATCCTTGACAAGATTCTAAAAGGGGTTAATAAAGACATGACTTGTGAATTCTTGAAAGAAAAAGAGTAATCACAGAGCTTCAAAGAACAACTTATACCAGACACCAGCTTGTTCAGACTCTACTATTGCACTTCTACTGTGACCTAAATCATCATCTCACCCATAGTATTTTGAGGTCCTTAATAAGATGTTACTCATTCTTCTATCCATATTTCCCAGTGCCTTCAAGAATGCCCAGCACACAGCAAACATTTAATAAAATACTGAATGAGTGTTAATTCATTTCTTGACAGGAGTATGAAGCTGATCATATATTAATATATTTGAACAGACCTAATATAGATAAATATTTTAACAAAATCCTTATGACAAAATTTTGGTGAAAATACAGGCATATGGAATGCGTGAGGAAAGGATTTTTAGGTAGATTAGTAGCAGACTTACTGAAAATTCCTAAAAGGTATTTGATGGATGCTTAATGACACATAACAGGATTTTATCCTAGTCAATGCCTTATTTTTTTTTAACCATAGGTTTTTATTAAAATAGAAAGGGGACTCATAAGTTACATAATGCTAAGATGGAGAGTAAACAGGACTTAACATAATTTTTAAAAACTGACAAAGTAACGTATGACTATAAGAAAAAGGGACAGATGTATGGTCCTGCACTGGTTTTAAAAACCTGCTTACATACAGAAATGGCAGTAACACAGCTAATAACACACATTTAAAAAATTAGAGTGATTTTAAGTAAATCAGATATGAACTCATAATGTATTATGAACTCTCCAATGTCATATATGGGAAAACAGAAGGGCACTTAAAATTAAAGAAATGACAATTCTGCTTAATCCTGTCCTAAGGAGACTAATTCTGATAAATGCAATTTAAGGTGCCATGCATTAAAAATAAGGGCATAAAAAACTAGAGCAAATTTGTATTCAGTGTGATCAGACAAGTGAAGGAAATAGAAACAATTATCAGTTGAAAGACCTAGAGAGATTTAGCTTAATATTAAATATTTAACACCTAAATATTAAAATTATGGAATACATTAGATTTGCTTTTCGATGCTCTCAAGGAACCAGATTTAATGTGTAAAAGTTGATGACAATACTTTGGCTCATTTTATAGGAATAACTTTTCAATTAGACCTGTCCAATAACAGAATAGATTACCTCAGAAGAAAACAAGATCCCAACTACAGGTATTCCAGCACAGAGAAGATTCAAGTATGGTTCAAGATTTAAGCATGGTTGAGTGTCTACACTGATTGATGGCTTTTCAAATCCCTTTCAATCCTCTTGGTAAATGGTAGAATCTGTATGATCAAATTTTTAACATAAGGAAGATATTCTTAAGAAATCTAGTCAGAGGGTGCCTGAGCGGCTCAGTCAGTTAAACATCTGCCTTCAGCTCAGGTCATGCATGATCCCAGGGTCCTCGGATGGAACCCCGCACTGCATCGGGCTCCCTGCTCCGCGGGAAGCCTGCTTCTCCCTCTCCCACTCCCTCTGCTTGTGTTCCCTCTCTCGCTGTTTCTGTCAAATAAATAAATCTTAAAAAAAAAAAAAAAAGTCTAGTCAGTATTTGATCAATTTTACTCATAAACTTTCTCTCCACGAAAGTCATATTGCCAAAAAACACCTCAGACATAAGTTCTTAGATATCCAAATATTTTGAAGCCACTCACCTGCCTTGTTACTGTAATTTCATCATGAACCTCAAATCCTAAAGGGCTTTGCTTTTTGTCAGAATTATCAAATGTGATTGACACTGAAGCTTTGGTAATACCAGCCTGCCCATTTTTGTAAACTAAATCTTGTAAATTAGAAGCCCGAACCTAAAAAAAAAGAAAAGTGTATCAATTACAAAACCCCATACTGCACAAAATGGCATTAAAATTGGGTTTCTTGCTGTTGGAAAACCACCCATGTAGTATCCATTAAGTAGCCAAGGACAGACAGTTGCATTCAGAACGAAGAAAATCAAGGAAAATGGGAAACCACCTAAAATGAGTGCCTTTCCCCACACGACTTTTCCACCCCTGCATTGAATTGTTTTCCATTCATTTCTTAACTGAAGTTCGTCTGAAAGATTTAGGAAGACAGCATCTAAGAATTTCACTGTTCGTCCAATTCCTTTAGATCCTGAAAAGGCATTATAATGCAGGGTGAATGGGTAGGCATAGACTCTGGAAGAAGACTGCCTTAAAGAATGCCTGACTTTGAGTGTTGCTCCGAACATCTTAAAGGGATGAACCTTATGCAACACAAGTTTCTGTTTTCTCACCTGAAAGATGGAGTAATACTATCTACCTCTAAAGGATTGTGGTGAGGTGTAAGATAATTTGCATAAACAAAAATGCAAATGAAGAGAATACTGGCAATAGTCTCTAAGTTCAATGTGGATTCCCCTCAGGGTCCCCAAACTTATAATTCACATAAATCAGAAAATTTACCTGAGATAGGTTGGAGATGCCCAGCAAAAAGCAGATGGAGTCCAGTATGTTGGATTTCCCACTACCATTTAAACCAGTGATAGCATTGAAGAGGGGGTCAAAACCATTGACTTCAGTCCTCTGAGCATAGGACTTAAATCCTTCAAGGATGATTGACTTAACATGCATTTTCACTACTGACTTGGACAAGTAAACGTCTGCTAGGAATCCAACAGGCCACAAAGCAGCTCTGTATAAAACAGAAATTCGTAAGTGGGACAGAAATCTGTAATCATAATGTATGTAAAAGACTAAAACGTAAGAATGACAGTTTAAGAGAAAACAGCCACTTTCCGAGCAACTTCCTCTGACGTAAAGACACCTTTTTCCAACTTAACTAATTGGAATTAAACCATTAATTCAACCTTAAGTCAACGACTTACTTTTCTAGGCTTACCTTCCATCTTTATCATACTCTAACAAACTACTGATTATTTCATATCCTACCCCCTTTGCCCATAATGTCCTGCTCCCAAAAAGACATGATTCGCTCTTTACTACACTCAAGTCCTTGCTCAAACGTAACCTTACTAGGGTTTTTTCTGACTTCCCTATTTAAAAACGCACCTGTCCCCCTCCCCTCACTCTGCTTTTTCCTTCATCGTACTTAGGATGACACTAAACAGTATTTATTTATCCGTCTATCCAGACTATCGTAATGCAGAATCTTTGCCTGCGTCCACCGCTGTATGCTGGAATAGTGCCTGACTCCAGGGCGCCGGGAAAGGGGAGTGCCATCAATATTCACTAAATAGATGAATCCCACATACTCTCCAGCTTGTTTTCACTCTGCCTGTTCCCTAGCCCCACCAGGCCTTTCTATCAGCACGTTTGCCCGACTCCAAGGCTGGAAAGGAAGTAGCCACTCTGTCAGGGAACCCATTAGGGCTGACTTTAGTTTGAGGGCCCCTCTTGCTAACCCCTCTCTCCCCTGGCACACAAACAAAAAAACCCGTCCTCCTCTCCAGGCAAGAAATGCCAGACTAGGCCCAACCTGCCGCGCGCACGCACCCGCCTCACCGCTGCGCCAGGCCGCCCCGGCTTGAGGCGCCCTAGAAGCTAATCCTGGTTACAAGAGCAGAAAGCCGGCCCACTTTGCCGGGCTTCGGGCCCTACTAAGAGAATCCCTCCATAGCGGCTGCAACACTCGCCCCGCGCTCCGCACCCAGGGCCGGAAATATTTATACCTTTGAATTTCGGCGCGAGCAAAGGACCCCACCTCCACTGCCTATTTCAGTGGCCGGTGCCTAGGAGATGCCTGACGTAGAGGTTCCATTTTTCCCTCCCATCGAACAACCAAAGTGCCAGGGAGATAGGAAAGAGCGTCACGACAAGGGCAGCTCTGGGGATGCGACGGCTGGGGCCTGAGGACTAAAACAGCAAGTGGCATGTGTTGAGCTCAGCATCCGGCACTCCTTGGGCAGCCACGCACCTCAGCCTCGGGGCCTCGCGCCTCGCCGGCCCCGCCCCACCCCAGGCCCCGTAGGCCTCGGGTGCTCCCGGAGGCCCCGCCCCTCCCGGAGTGGCGCGGGCTTGGCGGGACTCGCTTGTACGGCTGCTGTAGTCTTAGAGTCGTGGAGGCAGGGAGGCGGGAATCCTTGTTGCCGGTGTCCTCGTTGTACTTCAGAAGCCTCAGAATTTACCCGATTTGGCTCACATTTATCAAAAATGGGAGGCTGCGCTTTGTCCGGGCTGCGGAGGCGCGGAATTTGGGCGGACTGTGGGGCGCGTTCTGGCTCCGCCCCTCCCGGCTCCGGACCCTGGCGGGCTTTTTCATCTCAAATTTCGCAAGGGGCAGGGACGTTAGTTTTCGCGGCGGCTGCCGAAAGCCGTGCTGATCCCAGAGGAGAAATCGTGTAGGGCCGGCGGCAGGAGGTGGACAAATAGGTGTTCCCCTCCCTGCACTTCGATAAAGCAGTGGCAGAACTAACATTTCGGAGAATTTCTTTGGAAACCCGACAGCTAATATTTATTGAGCTTTGTGTGACCGGCTGGGTTCCAAGGGCTTTAAAATCCTGCAACAACTCTGTGAAATCCGTGACACTGTTTTCATTTTGTAGATGAGCGAACTTACTTCCAGTAGTAAGTGGAGAAGCTGGGATTTGTTCCCAAGCAGTCTAGCTCCATAGCGCGTACTCTTAAATTGCTATATACTATTCCTCTTCGTGTTCAGAATCCAGGACCACTAAGAACAGCCTCTACACTTACTAGTGTGTTTTGCTCTTAACAAACAAAACTGACCAATTTACTCACAGTTGAGCGTACTGATAACAGTAATTTAGGAAGGACCGCTTAAGAGTGCATTGTAGTACTATCCCTAGGTGATGTATAAAAAGATGTTGCAGCTGGTATACTATTTTAAACCATATATTTAAAACTACCCCCGCCCCCCGCCGTGGCTTTGCAGCATTGGACACCGGTCAAACTGCCAAGAATTACCAAGAATGGGCCTCTGTTTTGACATTCTTTGTCTACTTAAGAAGATAAAATAAGTTTGGGGTGGTTTTGGTTTGTTTACTAAGAATTATTTACTCATATCCCATCCCCTTCTGTACTGTCAATGGTTACTGGCCTAACATCTTTTAGTTAAGTATTTATCTTTGTCTACTTTGGTTCCTACATCCGCTACATTCTACAACTCACATATATTGGTTCTATTCAATTTTTTAATTAATTTTTTATTTTAATTGCAGTATCATTAATATACAATGTTATATTAGTTTCAGGGGTGCGATATAATGATTAAACACTTTCATACAACACCCAGTGTTTACAAGTGCAAGCCTTAATCCCCATCACCTATTTAACCCATCCCCCCACCCACCTCTCCTCTGGTAAACCTGTTTTTTCTCTAGTTAAGAGTCTGTTTCTTGGTTTGTCTCTTTTTAATCTTTGCTTGTTTCTTTTGTTTCTTAAATTCCACATATGAGTGAGATCATGTGGTATTTGTCTTTCTCCGACTTACTTTTTTTTTTTAAAGATTTCATTTATTTAAGAGAGAGACTGAGAGAGGGCATGAGAGGGGGAGGGTCAGAGGGAGAAGCAGACTCCCCACTGAGCAGTGAGCCCGCCGTGGGACTCGATCCTGGGATTCCGGGATCATGACCTGAGCCAAAGGCAGTAGCTTAGCCAACTGAGCCACCCAGTCGCCCCACTCTGACTTTTTAGCTTAGCATAATTCTCTAGCTCCATCCATGTCATTGCAATGGTCTATTCAATTTTAATATACATTTATTTTCAACAATGTCCCCTTCATCACTTTGTGAGGAAAGAATTTTAATTTGCCAACAAACCCTAAAGTGGGCTTTACCAAATTGTGAAATAAACATTTCTTTGGGGGTGAAAATGGACGCTATTCGCCTTTGCACTTATTTAATGGATTGTTTATATATTTAAGTCAAATGGATGAAAACAGATGCAAATGCACTTTTGCCAGATCAGCACTTCTGAGTTGTTATAAGAATATACATATCTACTTCCACTGAAAGTGTTTACTAAAATGAAAATTGCTTATTAAAGGAGAGATCTATATCCATTTTAGTCTTCCAGTATGCCAGGAACAGTAAGGAATTTCTTTTACTACGGATGGACTTGAGGAAATAACTAATGCCTTCTGAGATCACAGGGAAGTGGAGAAGATCAAGGCACAAAGCCACTCATACTCCCCTAATTTGGAGAGGGAAGGGCTGGAAGTAAAGATAGACCATAAGGTAAATGTAGTAAAAATAAAACACTGTTCTTGTTTCATCACCATGGATCAAAATCTTTTGAAAGATTCAAGATTGGCAGGCCGGTGGAGTTTTGGTCCTTATGTATAAGGCGGCAGCACCAACAAAGGCACTGATAAAGCCATAAGGGGGTCCTAGGAAAAAGATTTGGTCTACTCTTCCAGGACACGGAAGGACAGTCTTTCCCTGGGTGCACATTTCTAATTTTAGAGTTCTAAAGTAGCTCTTCTTGGGACTTAGATGAATCCTCTCTCCCTGCAACTTAGGACTGAAGAAAAAATGAAAGGACTTTACCTTCCCTGCAGACATAAGGAAAGGTTGATTCATTTTGTTGAGAGATTAACTTGGGGTTCAAAGGAATGAATTGATAATGATGGGAAGTTCATATTGTAAAACTGTATTGCATAGCAGCACATTTTGAATACACCAGGTATAACCTGTTTGACAACAACAAATATAGCTGAACATAATTTAAGTAATAGAAAAGGAGGTGACCATTCATTCACCTATGGGATCGGGTTAGACCTGTTCACTTTCATTTCAATGACAAAACTGTTTTGAGTACTACATGTTATGTTTGATTCTTTGTGAAATCTGCCTATATTCTTTCATCATAATTTCTGCTATTTTGCCTCTTTAATCAAATATCTTTATTTTCCCTTTCAGGTACTTCCAGCTTTTGAGTTCCTAACTCTACTCTTTACAACATTTGCTGAGTTTTACTCATGGTGATTTATATCCTCCCCTGGTACTGTTCTGGGATGGGGTGGTTTTGTTTACGGGAGTCTCTTATGCCCTGAGTTGTGAAAGAGTCCCTTCAGAACAGTTATGTATTTGTTTCTGCCAGGGTTTTTTGGCTCTTAAATATGCTGGGGCATTTGTGAATGATTATTTCTCCGTTTGTGGTTCCTGAATTATGCAGATATTGTAAATTTATGTCATGCAGGCCTGGGGTTTTTATTTCTCACAGGTACCCTTTGTTTGTAATCCCTATTCAAAGCCCCAAGCAAAGAACAAACTTCTCTTCTTCCCCAGACCAGCAGGTGGGATTTTTCGGTCCCAGTGACTGGCAGTTGCTTAAGGCTTGAGGTTTTACCTGAGGGCTTAGTTCCTGCTCCTCCGCCTCACTGAGGCTCCAGGCCTTATGCTTGTGCCCTGAAACCTAGCCACTGGCTCCTGAGCCATATAGCCAGGTTATAAAATGTGGGAGTGGTGCAATTTTTCAGTTTGTTTCTGGCACTGAGAATTTCCTGTCGTGTTTTTTTGTTTTGTTTTTTTTTTTGGGGTGGTTTTTTTTTTTGGTTTTTGTTATTGAGCTGGGCATATGGTTTATATAATTATTTTATTTTATTTTTTATATATTTATATATAATATATATATTTATATATATATAATAAATATATTTATTATATTTTATTATATTATATTTTATCCAGTATTACTATATAAAGGGAAGTTCAGTCAGCCATATTAGAGGTCTTCTTGATGTCGTTTTTGAATGTAGGTGAGTTGGTGTTGGTGGGGTGAGGTCTGGAGCCGGCAACCAAGAAAGAATTCTTAAGACCTCTTTGGTGCAAAAAGGTGGTTTTATTAAAGAATGGGGACGGGACCCATGGGCAGAAAGAGTTGCTGCACTGAAGTTTTGAGGAATGGCTGATTACATACTTGGGAGTTGGGGGGGAGGTAAGGGAGAAGGGAGGTTTTCAAAAGAACATTTTTATGCTAAAGAGGACCCACAGGATATTGAGACCTTGCCATTGTCAAGTTAGGGTGGTTTTTCCCCTCTAGCAAAGCATTAACATTAAGACACTTGGGAGGTTAAAGTTATACTCTGCCTATCACAAGTCCTTGTCCGTGGGCTGCAGGTTACCAGGAAATTTTATTTTATTTACATTCCCTTCTACCTTTGTTTCCCACATCACTATGGATGGGTAGGTGATGTTAGGGCTCCAGGAAATTTGAGTCTATGGGTCTATGGAAGTTGGGCTATTGATAAGAATGCTTTTTCCTTGTAAATCACTAAGACATTTGTAAACTGATAGAGGCTCATGTCTTGTGGGACTGTGATCTCTATTAGTTGAACCATTTGTTTTTGTTGTTTTTTTTTTTTTTCCCTTTCCTTAGTTTGAGGGCAGCCAGGAGTGCCTAAGGAATGTCACATATATCCCACGTGGGAGTGGGGGTGGAGGTTTGCAGGGTGTCAGCTTGTGCTTTGTCCTCAGCTTGCCTTCTGTTCCCTCATCATTCTCGTTTACTTTTCATGAAGAACATCAATGATCTCTGTTTTGCCCCTGCCAAGCATTGCTTTCAGATTCTTACATTCCATATAGAAAGGAGCTTTTCCTAAAAAACAGAAAGAAGTCTGGTACCAACTAGCTCTTAAGAAAATATTTTCACACAGTACTCATAAAATGCAAAATGTTCTTATTTCATATTTGTA